AGCCAGGTGTTGGCCTAGGAATGCACAGTGAAGAACCGGAACACACATGCCCCTGCCTTCGGGAAGCTCACAATCCATCCCAGGGGAAAAGAACAGCTAGATCTGGTTTGGTCTTTGGGGCTGACAAGCTATGGGATTTAGTCCCTTCTACTCTGTTCACCTCAGCTTGTATATCTGTAAAATGAGGCAGCTGTGTTTAGACAGGTGGTTTTCCACTTTTATTGTGAATCAGAATCGCACGGGCAATGTGTTAAAAAACGCGTCTTCCTGGGCTCCCACCCCAGATGCTTTGATTTAGTAGGCTCAGGGCGGGGCCCAGGAATTTGTATCTAAAATGAGGGCACAGGCGCCGCGTGAACCCACCCTTGGAGAGAGACTGATCTGGCTGTAAACCCCATTAGGGCCTACATGGGGTCTGTGTTGTCACACGTGTATCCCCTGTGCCTAGCACAGTGCCTGGCACAGAGAAGGTCTCAAGAAACGTTTGGTGATAGTTTGAATGATCTGGGCTTTCCATGGATGGGCCTCAGCGACTCCTGAACCACCTGAAATTGAACACAGTTTGTATTAAGGTTTGTGGGTCAGATTCTAAGGGCCCTTTGGGCTCTAAATAGTCTGTGATTTTGGGATTGAAACCAGTTTTTTTCTCCTGCCCAAAGCTCAGACCTATTATTGGAAATCTTTTTAACCTATATATTAAAATTTGAGTCCTGTATCAAGGTGATTAGGTGAGAAGATGTCGATTTACAGTAGACTCTTAAAACGTTAAAGGAGTTAATATCCACATTCTATGTAAATTCTGTGAGCGCTCAGGATATGCTATTTGGCATTTTTTTGATTCATTTGAAAGTACCTTTTGGGCAAGTAATGTTGTCTCCATTTTCCAGGTGGGAGAGTTGAGGTGCCTGTGAGTCCTGTAGCTTGTCCAAGGGCTGCTCCACTAAAAATTAGCCCGGGAGTTAAAGAACCTGGCTCCCAGGACCAGCCCAGTGGTGCAGCGGTTAAGTTCACACCTTCCGCTTCTCAGCAGCCCAGGGTTCGCCGGTTTGGATCCCGGCTGCGGACATGGCACTGCTTGGCAAAAACCATGCTGTGGCAGGCATCCCATGTATAAAGTAGAGGAAGATGGGCACAGATGTTAGCTCAGGGCCAGTCTTCCTCAGCAAAAAGAGAAGGATTGGCAGTAGTTAGCTCCGGGCTAATCTTCCTCCAAAAAAAAAAACCTGGCTTCCATCCTCTTGCCTGCTTGTGTGGCTTTGGTTGAGTAGCTTGGCCTCTCTAGGCCTCAGTTTCCCCATCTGTAAGATGGGAAGGGGTAGACTAATTGTCTCTGAGCAACTGCTTAGCTTGAATATTCAAGGATCCCCTAGTAACTTGATGCTTAGACACACAGAACTCCCTGTGAGGGCAAGCTCTGAAGTCCTCTTAGTTTAGGGAAAATGTAAGGACTAAGGAGACCACCTCAAATAGCTCAGGTCATCTCCACAGATCATTCTGGAGGGATGCACATCATTAAGGCAAAGGCAGTGGAGATGGTAAAGCCATGGGTGTGAAACTCCTAGAATTTTGGAACCTTAATCCTCTACTCTGTCAGTTCATTAATTCACTGTTTCATTCTGAGAACGAGATCTAGAAATTTGCCTCTATGAGATTCAACCCCATGTTCCCTTCCCAGTAGTGTCGGAAGACTTTCACAAGGAGCTGGAGGAAACAGTGCCCTTCATGGAATCTTAGACTCTTGATATATCCTTTAAAGATTGGCCATCACTTAGTACTCTTAAGTGTCCTTCCTGGACCAGGAGAGTCCGCAGCACCTGGGGGCTTGTTAGAAATGCAGAATCTCAGCCCCCACCCAGACCTCCTGTATCAGAATCTGCATTGAACAAGATCTCCATTGGATTCTACTGCACAGTAAAATTGGAGAAGCACTAGCCCTAAGCCAGCACTTGATTCCCATCCTTCGCATCCTGACGAACAATCAAGCCTCGTATTCCTGGCCTCCTCTAACATCTTCCAAGTGGTCCTATTTTGTCCTAGCACCAATCCAACTCTTAGAATTTCTTCTCTGTCTTAAACTAGTCCCTCAGTCATTCAGTAACTTCTGCTATTAACACTCACTCTAGCCTCTGGATCTTATAGAACAAGATAATTGCTCCCGTGTCCCCCACAGCTTCTCATCTTGTAGTCCTCATACAACATAGTTTCTAATCTTCCTCATCCAGGATACATTCTTGTCTATTGCAGCACATTGCAAACTCACTTGGGCCAGGCAAGTAACACGAATGAGAGATAAGAGCCAGGTGAAAGGTACTAAGGAATGGTGGAGACTATGGCAAACTGGAGAGACATGCCCTCCCTAAGCAGGGCAGCTGTGTTGCTCAGCCCAGCTGAGGGTCTAAGGGAACTCAGTCTGAGCATTGATATGTCTTTTGAGTTTTCAAGAGAAGCCAAAAATCTTGATAAAACAGTAGGAAATTTCCCTATTTTATCACGTTGGTGAAAGTTTAAAAAAAAACACCTCAAAAGCTGACAGATTGTGTTTGCCAGTGACCACACCTAAGGTTTTTGTGACCTTTGATGATAAAGATCTGCTCTACTTGGGTACAATAGCCCAGGATTGGTCTGACCAGCACAGAGCAGGCAGAATTAGGGCCTTCGTCATTCTGGACCAGTAGTTCCCAACTTTGAGCGTGCATCAGAATCTCTTGGAGGACTTCTAAAACACAGATCCCAGGGCCCCACCCTCAGGGTTTCTGCTTCAGGAGGCCTAGGGCATAGCCCAGGTAATTAATTAGCATTTCTAACAAACTCCCAGGTATGGGTGCTGCTGTTTCAAGGACCACACTTTGAGAACCACTTGAGATTGGTACCTTCCGTAGAGCCTCTTTGGTTCCACTAGTGACCTCAAGTAGTCAACTGAAGTTCCCAATCTTTGGGTAGCAGAAAAGGGAAAGAAATTGGAAGGGAGGGCTGGAGCAAAGATTGCTGAACAGCCCTTGACCCCTCAATCCTGACATCTGCAGGTAGATGTTTATCTTGGGCAGGTCCCTGACCCACCCCAAGCCTCAGTTTCCCTATCTGTGAAGTAGGGAAGTAGCCCCAGCTCAGTTTCCAAGGATATTTGTCTGTGTGTTTGGAGATTTGATTGTCAATTTGTTTTTAGCAGAGGACCTTTTTAAAATGCAATCCCACATGGAACCCCAGTACAGAAAACAGACAGATGCATTGCTGGTCTGATTGCAGGGTGTCGAGCTCCTACCCCCAGCCTCCCTGGTCCCAAGGCAGCGCTGAAGTGTCTTCTGTGGAAATGTAGCTCAGTGCGGTGGAAACCTGCTGAAGGAACTTCCAGCTCAGCTTCTGTGATTTCTAAAAACCCCGAGAACTGTTTGCAGGCACGTGGCCTTTGTTTCGCAGTTTTCTTTCCTTCTCTAACCAAGACATCCGGCATGCCAACTTTCGGAATTTTCTCATTGCAACTCAGCGAGGTCTTGTAGGAGAGGGAATGCAAAGGATTGTGATGTTCATTAGAGCCGTTGTAAGGATATTGAGCCGTTGTGGAAAATCTGCTAACACAAGGACCAGCCAGAGACTTAATAAACAGGCGTGGGGAAGCTTTTATTCCGGTGGCTTCTTGTTCGTGCTAATGTTCCAGCACGCCGCACATTCAAGGCCTTCGTAGTTAATTACACAGGAAATAGGACTATTGGATTCTGCATACCACAGTGGCAAGAACAAATCTGTGGGATTTTTAATGGGCAAGGTGATATGGAAAGCTGTTCTTATTTACGCGAACATGGCAGATATTTAAGCAGCTGTGGGTGCACTTGGAAAGACCCTGAGCCCAGGGGCCAAGTCTTTAGACTTGACTGTGGGCGTGGGAAAGCACCTAGCACCTTCTGATGACCCCAGACACTGGAATGCAGCCTCCTTTAATTAGGGAAACCAGTTCCTAATGGGCCCACCAGGATGGACTCACCTTCCCAGACACACAAAAAACACCTTCAGGGTCCCTGGGGGCTCTTCTCTTGTGGCTGCTGTGTATTCCTGCTTGCTTTCAGCCCTCCAATTGCTTGTTCCTACATTCCACACACAGTTGCCAGATGTTCACCCTCTTGGGAACTGGGCCCTCTTTGGGGCCGTAGAGATGACCAAGACTTGACTTCCACTCCTGTGCTCGGTGCTCCTCAGGCCAAGACCAGCTCTGCCACTCTCCCCCTGCACCTGGAAGTCTATGCCGGGGCCCTTTGCCTTGCCTTTCTGTCATTTCTGCTTGTCTGAAGCCCAGCCCAAATGCCCTCATGTCCTTGAAACCTTCTCCAGTTCTCCGAGGAGTGAGCTCCTGTAGCACTTGCTGCAGGCCTCTCTTCTAAGGTCCACTTGCCTGCCCTGTCCAGCACGTAGCCACTAGCTGCCTGTGGCTCTTGAGCACTTGAAATGGGTCTGAAATTAGATGAACACAAGTGTAGGATACACCCTGGATTCGAAGGCTTAGTACAAAATAGAATGTGAAGTACCTCAACAGTTTTCTCCATTGCGTGTTGAAGTGATGTTTCAGAGTATATTAAGTTAAATGAAATATATTATCAAAACTAACTTCACCTGTTTCTTTCTTTTTTTTTTTTTTTTTAATGTGAATGCCAGAAAATTTAAAGTTACATATGTGGCTCACATTATTCTATTTCTGTTGGACAGCGCCACACTTAACACTCTCTCTCTTGGGTGAAAGAAATATCTGTCCATCTGTTTTCTCTCCTGCTGGTCTGTGAGTTCTAGGAGGATGGACGCTTTGTGCCCATCATCTTTCTGACCTTTGCACACCTGACTGGCCCACAGCAGGACTAACAGAGGTAGACCGAGGGAATTAGTAACTGAACAACGAGGACATTCAATCAATAGCAGAAGCTCCCTTAGGCAGTGTAATTTCTGGGTCTCTGTTATTAAAACTTCTTTCCCCTTTTCTTCTTTTTCACAATTTTTGTCTTTTTTTTTTTTTTTGTAAGGGCTCACACAATCAGCAAAAGAAGACATTTTTCTTGGGAGATGGGCAAAAGCTGAAGGACTGGCACGACAAAGAAGCCATCAGGAGGGACGCTCAGCGCGTAGGTACGAGAGCAGGATCATCCATGGGCAGGTCCCGTGGAGAGTGTATGCTCGTGTGTATGCGCATGTGTGTATATGTTTAGTGGGGCTGTCTGGGCCTCCTGTTGACCCCCTCTCCTTTTACCGTCTTCCCTTCCCTGATTCCTGGGACACCCCGCCCCCCCGCACCTCTTACCTGTTAGCTGATCCCTTTCTCCACTCACATCACAGATCCAGTGCCTTTGGGATTTGCCCTGCCACCTTTATTGGGTGATAGAAAATGCCTCCCCCTTATAAGATATTTTACCACTGAAACGAGGAGCAATAATAATAAGAGCCAACATTTATTGAACACCTATACCATGCTCTACGTTTTGCACATTTTATCGGTGAATGCCCATCTGTAGCCCATTTGATGAGAAGGGACCTGGAGCTCAGAGAGGTGGGGTAATCTGCCCACGATCACACAGTGACAAAGAGGCAGTTTGGGTCTTGAACCCAGCTCTGGAGAGCAGAGTTGATCCCTACCCACCACTGCTTCCTCGAGGGTGAATTTATTTAGTGGGCTTCAGCTAAAGTTTTCTTCAGCTAATTAGTCTTTGGAGCAATTCGTGTTACACTGGGGAGTTGGGAAGGTTTGGGATGGCGTGGTATAGAAATTATGTGAAGAGTCGTCTGTAGAGAGCCTGGACTAGGAGTCAGGGGAGCAGCTCTGACACCACTTATCGGCCATGTGACCATCAGAGAAGTTCCATACTCCCTGAGCCTCAGTTTCTCCATCTGTCAGTGGGGCTCAGGCTTCCTGCTTTGACAACCTCAGGGTGTTGTTCTGAAGGTGACAGTAAGGTGCTGAGTGTCAAGTAGCTTTACAATACTGGAAAGCACGGTAGAAATATAAGGGATTGGTATTTTATTTATTTTTATCTCAGTGAAAGGCACCCACCACTATTGATTTTTTTTAATTACATTAGACAAAACTAGATTACAACAAGGCTCTGAATAGAGCTGGTATACTAACTTCGCTGATGGTCAGGGAAGCCTAAAGACATGATGTGCATTTTTCTGCGTGCCAGTGATTTAAAATGAAGGTGGGGGTGGGGAGGCGCAGCTTAAATTAAGAAAGAAAACATTTGAAGAGTTGATTTGCCAGACAGTTATCCCAGAATGATTAGAACATTAGGCTAACTAGGGGGAACAGAGTAAGCAGGGGAGACATTATTCAGGATAATAATAACCGGTGTTAACATATGCCAGGCCCCTGGCCCTGCATTACCTCCCGAATCATCACCTTGAACCTTCTTATGCTAATTAATACAAAGGGCAAAACCGGAGACTTAGAAAGGCTAAAGGCGTGCTCAGGATGGCATAGCTGGGATAGCAGGGCTGGGCTTCAAACCTCATTCTACCTGGCTCCAGGGCCCGAACTCTGAATCACTCCCCTGTACTGGCTTCCTGAAGCTTCCCTCCCTTAGCAGTTGCTTCTTCTCTTCTTTGTCTGCTTGCTGCATTTGTGTCCCTTGCAGAATCTGACCTGGGCACTAGCCAGCAGTGTTTTTTGTGGAGCATCACAAGTTACAGATGGTGGGGTCCTCTCCCTCCTCTGGCTGAACTGGAGGAGCCACAGCCCTTGGGCTCCTCTTCTCAGCTGGCACCTGCCCATTAAGCTGATAGGGTCAACATTTACTTTGCAAACTACCAGGGGTGTTGCTCAGACCACGAGCCCCAGAAGATGAGATGCTTTTTAACCAGCTATTTTTATTGCCATTTCTAAGACCCTCGCCGATGGCTGATTCTTGGGCTATTATTGCAGGGTTGATGTGGACATTCCCACCCACCATATGCACCCTGGGAACCCAGGGAATAATTTCCTGGAGCATCAGGGAGTCTTTCCCCAGATGCTTTGTGCAGAGAGAGGAAAGCTAGTCACCCACATCTGTGACTCAAAGCAACGCTTTTCAGGCAGTCCTGGCCTAGGCTAGGCAGATCTTAATTTGTTTGCTGGCTTAAAAAATCAAAGCATCTTTTATCATTTGTGGCAGTTTTGGTTTACATATAAAGTTTGCCTTGCCTAGAAAGTAGTCATAATATTTCCTCACATTTATATGTGTTTCATAGTTTACAAAACTCTTTCACGTTTGCAGCCTGTCATTTGACTCTCTCAACATGCTGTGGGAACCAGAGGGGAGCCAGCTACAGTTCAGAGAGGCAGTGCGACTGGTCCAAGGTTCATCAGCTCGTGTGTGGTAGACCTGGCTTCCCGTCTGGGTGATTGGCCTCTCCAGGCAGGGGTGTTTGGGGCTCCTGGCAGAGTGGAGGGAGCGTGGACTTTGGAAGCCACAGACCTGGTTTTTATGACCTTTCTGAGTCCCATTTTATTCCTCTATAGAATAAGGGCTCTCATGTCCATCCTGCAGGCTGGCTGTGGAAATTACTTGAGAATAAGGTCTGTAGAGTGCATGGCACAGCTGTGGCTGAATAAATGCTCATTCCCCTCCCCTCTACACACTGCCCCCTGCAAAATCTGGAGGTGCACTTTGTACCCAAGTATAAAGTTTTATCTTTGCGGTGTAATCACGTTTTTCATCCTTCTTCCCCCATTCCGTTCAATTAGCATCATTGAATTTGCTATTTGCTTTTTGCTTCTAGGAAATGGAGAACAAGGGAGACCTTACCCCATGACTGATGCTGAGAGAGTGGATCAGGCATACCGAGAAAATGGATTTAACATCTACGTCAGTGATAAAATCTCCCTGAACCGCTCTCTCCCTGATATTCGGCACCCAAAGTGAGTGGAACATCTCTCATCTTCTGGGATCTAAGGATTTTGCCCTTGGCTCTTGTTGAGAATTAATTAAAGAAACAGGTACCTGAAGCGCTGCTGGAGATTTCCCTCCTGCCACACAGGGCCTTTGTGCAAAGGTTTGCGTCATCAGGTTCTAGAATTTAGAGGTGGTGTGGTGGAGGGACTCCCCAAGGGAGCCGGTCTCCTTCCTCTTTTCAGGCAGTGGGAACTGTGGGCCCTCTGCATTTCCCCTTTTTTGCTCTGGCCCACAGGAAAGACAATTGCAGTGACAGTTTCAACCCTCACTCTCTCCACTTTCTGTGTATGGTATTTTTATTCCTTTTTTTTTTTTAATTAATCTTTATTTTCTCAATCCTGTGCACCTATATATTTATGTCTTTGTTATAAGCTATCTCAAATCATTTGAGGGAGGACGTATTGTGACGATTACAAAGATAAGAACAATGGCAGCTAACATTCTTTGAACAGGTAGCATGTGCCAGGTGCTTGGTTTGCATCATCTCTTGTGAGGTGCGTCCTATAATGATGCCCCTTTTACCGACTGAGGAAACTGAGGCTTAAAGGAGTGTCGTAATTCATGTAAGGCCCCAGGCGACTAAGAAGTGAAGCCTGGTCTTAGGGTCCAGTTCAACCAAAACCTATCCTCTGGACCTTAAGCTCTGCCACTTCCCTCACCTTTTCAACAGCGTTATTATGGTGACCATGGTCGTCCAGTGGAGCAGGAGTTCTTTAAATTGGCGTGGATTAGAATCACCTGGAGGGCTGTTAGAACACAGGACATTGGGCCTCACCCCCATAATTCCTGATTCAGTTGTTCTGGGTTGGGGCCCAAGAACTTGCGTTACAAACAAGCTCACGTGATGCTTGCGTGACTTGTCTTGGGTCTGCACTTGGGGGACCACTGCAAGTAGAAGATTTCAAAATGGCTTCTACACAAAAGCAGTAGTGACCTACACTGGAACGTGAAGTGTTTTGCTCAGGTACTAAGAAAGTAGAGCCCGGGAAAAGAGAATAACAGCTAACACTTATTAGGTACGTACTGTAGTCAGGCATTGTTCTGAGCCACTGGTTCTCAAAGTGTGGTTCTCACGCTGCGACATCAGCATCACCCGTGAGCTTGTTAGACGTGAAGGTTCTCAGATCCCAGCCCAGACCTACTGAATCAAAACCTCTGGGGAGGGGCCCAGCAATCAGCATTTTAACAAGCCCTTCGGGGGATTCTGGTGCATGCTTAAGTTTTAGAACCCATATTCTGGGTACTTTAAGTGCGTTAACTCAGCCAAACATTCCCAAAACCCTGTGAAGTTGGTACCTTTATTATCACCATTATACAGATGGCATAGGCACTTTTTAGGCACAAAAAGTCAAGTAATTTGCATCAGATGACACAGCTGGTAAGAGGCGGTGCCAGAATTTGAATGCAGGGATTGTAATTCTAGAACCGTGTTCTTCATCACTGAGCCATAAGGTCTTTCCACCTATAAGATCCCAGCTGGTAGAATGCAATAATAAAGAACTAATCTTGGCAGTGTGTTTGGCTACTTACAAAATGCTTTCAGCCCCATTATGACTTGTAGTTCCTGCAGCAGTACTTGGAGGTTGGCGTTATCATCATTGTCGCCACTTGATAGATGAGGAAGCCACACAGCTGGGAATCCCCACCCAGAAGGTGTGCTGCTTGCCCACAGCCCTATTCCTGAGGATTTCTTGCAGTGAAGGGAGGGAGTAAGGGGATGTTTGCCCGTGAGGTTTGCAGTTTATTTCATGGTCTTCACTGTCAACCTGAGACTTTTTCATCTGAGTCTGAGAATGTGGATTAGATATTACTGATGTTGTTGGATTCAGAACTGTGACCTGACTCTCAGGGTCAGAAACTCAATTTATGTTGAGCCCCTTTCAGAGTTCAGAATTCTGCACTAATTTCATCTTTCTGGGTCTAGGAAAGAAGTTCATCTGGGAGCATTATGCTCGCCCCTCAGCTGCTGTTCTGGGGTACTGTGGGCTCCCAACTCTGGCTGTGCCTGGGGTGGTTTAAAAAACCCAAAGCCTGGGGCCCCACCCTGACCACTGGAATCTGAATCTCTGGGGTGTGGCCCGAGTCCCAGTATTTTCTAAAATCTCAGAAAGGAATTCTTACATATAACCAGGGTTGAGAACAGCTGGCATGAAATAAGGAATTATAATGAGAGAGAGAAGCTGGGTATGGTCACAGCTTTCATCCATCCATTCATCTGTTCATTCACTAAATATATAGCAATGGTCTTCTATGTGCCAAGCCCAGTGCTTGACACCAGGAACACGGTGATAAATGAGCCACATTTGCTGCCTTGTGCAAGGGGTGGGACAGATGGCATAAGAGGTCATTACACCACAGTTGAGAAGACCGGTAAAGGGGTAGGCACAGAGTGCTTTGAAACCTCAGAGCACACCCCCGCCCTGCACCAGCCTTTGCAGGAAGATGCTGCAGATGGAGAGCTGCGTGGGCAAAGGCCTCCAGGCAAGACAGTGCACATTCTTGGGTTTACCACCTAGAAGAATGAGTCTCCCAGCTGGTTAGAAGAGGAGCCAGGATGAGGACCTGGCCCCTTTGTCTCCCAGTACACTGCTCACTCCCAACAGCCCAGAAAAGACAGGTCTTCTTAGTCTAGAGGATCTGGGGTCAATGGACGAGTCCATCAAGAGAATTCAGAGGGTCTATAAACTTGGATGAGAAAGACGTTGCATTCGTCTTTTCATCCACCTCTACCTGAAATTTGGTGTTCCCTTCAGTTATGAGTGTAGGAAACAAAGCCTATGATGTCGTCACCAAAAGAAATCATTTACTTTCACATCATTTTACAGAAATCTTGAAATGTTGTGCACACTCATCACTACTTTGAAATGAAGGTAGTTTTTTCAAACTACCACTAGATCTTGTTTAATGTGTGAATAAAGAAGCACGTTTATTACCCTATTTCAAATTGTTTATTATTTTGAAAACTCTATCTCAGTCTAATTAGTTTCCTTTACAATCTCATATATTTTATTTTATGCATAATAAACATTACTCTGAGAAGTGACAATAGGCGTCACCAGCCTGGCAGAGGAGTCCAGGGCATCGGTAAGGTGAGGAACCCCTGTTCTGGGTGGATGTGAACTGAGCATGTGGCCTCTATTACCAGCCCGCCACCCAGCCAGCATGCAAGTTACCGTGAAAGATGTCACTAAATCCAGCACTCCTGACATCCACTGTTTTTAGAATCCCCAGTTGTGGAAGCTGACTTTTCAGAAATTAGTTGACGGATGTCTTGAAGAGCCTTTATTTTTTCCAAGGGGGGATCTTTCTTGCGGTTTGACAGCAGAACTGTGTGAGGAAATTAGAGCAGTCAGGCTGCTCGCTCCCTCCGGTTTCTTTGAGCTTAAACAACTTCTCCAGCAGGAGCTGAGGTTTATGTTTGCCTTTTACTCCTTCAAACTGAACTGTGGCAACAGCGTGTCAAGAACAGGATTTGAGGGGCTGTTTGTTTGTGCCAGCTGCCTTTGCTTCCACCAGAAGCTGCACTGGGGAACGTGCAAGCTCAGAGAATGGAAATCAGGCAGCTCGGCCTGACTTGCTGGGCTTGCTTGTGGGAGGCGGCCAGCTGGCTCTGAGTGGGCCTGCCCCCTGCACCTCCTGCCAAGGGAGCAGGAACAGAGGCTGGCTGGTGGGCTGGCCCACTTTCTCTGCACCCCGGGGGATCCTGCTGGGCTGCTTGGCAACCGCACATGGAGGCCCCTCCAGGGCACAGAGCTGGTGGCAGTGGAGCCCCAACTGCTGAAGTGGCCTGGGTCTAAAGATTCCTGGCCAGACCCCTCTGTTGGGCGATCAGTTTCTCCCATGCAAAGATCATCCGTGGTGGGATTGACAGCAGTCAGAGATTATCCGTGGGGAAGGAAAGCAGTCTACGATCCTGACCTGCTTTCTCCGGTCCAGGGCTTTAGCTTCCAGTAATGACTGAACCTGAATGGAATCTTTGTTGCAATAAAAGGCCCAAGTCTACCAGATTCCTGGTTCCATGCTCCTTTTTGTTAAATTAACATGGTTAAATTATGGTATGTGCTGAATTTCCTCAAAAGAATTCATAAGCTCATATTATTATAATAGGCCAGTATTCTAGTGAGAACCTTTGCATCCCCAACAGGTTACAAAAGCAACAAGGAAGGGAGTTATGGCATGTTATCTTTGACAAACACTTATCAAATATATGCTGTGAGAAAAATGACAACTTGCCAGCACAGGAAGTTAAAGGCAACCACATCTGTAGAAGTAATCATCATAATAAATAAATAAACAGTACTAATTAAATAATTAAATATTATTATTAGTGTCCCAGTATGAATGTGCATATAGACCTTAACAATGCTATTTAGGGGCCAAGATGGAGTAACAGGGAGCAGATTTACTCTCCTGCTTGAAACAACTGGAAAAAATATATATAAAAAGCAATGGTTTTTAAGACACTGATCATCAGGCAGTGAAGGACAGTAATCCCCAAGAGACAGGAAACAAATGAGGTAAGCCCTACAATTGCCCCATCTTATTGCCTTGAGAGACTTTCCAGGCTATGATACAGGGAGGGAGAGCCCAGAGGACGTCCTGAGTTGAGGAGATGGCGTTGTGAGTCCAGGACACCAAGGAGGCCAGAGTTCACAGGGCAAGGTGCTGGAGAGGAGAGAACGCAGGGAGATTGAGCTACGAACATGTAGAGAGTCCCCTTGAGTATTCAGCAGATTACTGAGGAGAACCCTTCTGTGAGGAAGCTCCCTGAAGCTAAGAAAGGGATCCCCCAAAAGGATTAGAGGGAGCAGTGCCTGGGTCTCACACAGGGCCAAGAATAGTGCCTCTTCCCACCACTCAGATGGAAAAACCTCTTAATTCATAACTCATGGAGAATTGATTAGCACACTTAGAAGAGTTTTGCCTCAGTGGAGACTGATTAACTCTAGACCGAACAGTGCTCTAG